GAACCGCCCGTTCGCTGTGCAGGATGGGGGCTGGAGGGGGGAAGCCGGCGGCCGGAGCCTATCGGCTCCGTTCGCTGCTGGGCTGAAAGCTTACCTTAGTGTATGTGGGGAAGATGGCCGCTCAGAAGACGCTGGCTCCGATGACTGGCTCCCTCCCCTCCCAGCCACCCAGCCAATGGCAGGGCAGGGTGGCTGAGGGAGCCAGCTCTTCTGAGTGGCGTATTTTCCGCCCATACACTAACGGGGCGCATTTTAGAATTCTGGCACCCAAAACTCCTTTATAATAAAGGAGAGAAGAGATGAGATATTGGATGTATAGTGATTTTTTTTTCTTTCTGTGCATCTTCCAGTAGAATCTTACCTTTTCTCGTTTTGTGGGTATCAGCTGGTCTTATTCAACATCTCTCCACTTTTAGTTTGTCTCCCTTCGTATTTAGGACACTTCTCTATTGGTGTTTCTAAAATGCCCTTATAAACAAGCCTTGCTGATGTGATGTATATCCATACCTTTTTTCACGGGGGACAGGAGTTTGCAAGTGGAGCTTAACTTGTTCCCATGAGAGCTTACATGCTGTGATGCAACATTTTAGTCATGCCATTTTAAATAGGCGTGTGAGGTTTTAAAATATGTGCATTTAGGAGAGGTATCAAGTTCTCGTAATTGAAATTGCAAAACAAGAGTCTCTCAGTTGACAAAGAACTGGTGCAGGATCGGCAGTATTATTAGCCCTGGCACTAGGGCTGCCAGCTCTGGGTTGGGAAATTCCTGGAAATTTGGGGATGGAGCTTCAGGAGGGTTGGGTTTGGGGAGGGGAGGGACCTCAGCAGGGTACGATGCCATAGAGTTCACTCAAAAGCAGCTCTTTTCTCCAGGGGAACTGATCTCTGTTGTCTAGAGAGCAATTGAAATTCTGGGAGATCTCCAGGCCTCAACTGGCTTCTGGCAACCCTACGTGAGGGAGGGCACCTTTTTGATATGGGGAGGTAGAAGAAGAAAAAGAGATTAGATTTATATCCCGCCCTTTACTCGGAGTCTCAGAGTGGCTTACAAACTCCTTTCCCTTCCCCTCCCCACAACAGACACCCTCTGAGGTAGGTGGGGCTAAGAAAGCTCTTTCAAGAACTGCCCTTAAGAGAACAGTTCTGACAGAACTCTGGCTTGCCAAGGTCATCCAGCAGCTGCAAGTGGAGGAGTGGGGAACCAAACCTGGTTCTCCCAGATTAGAGACCGCACACTTAACCACTACACCAAACTGGCTCTCAGTTGTGATGAAGTCTAGGAAGTTACTAGAAAAAGAAATGGTTTCAGTTAAGCATTTAGCAATTGTTAGAGCATCAAGGTCTATTGTACTTAATCTACAAACATGGTAGAGGAGAAGACGAGAAGAAGAGATTGGATTTATACCTCACCCTTCACTACCCAAGGGAGTCTCAGAGCAGCTTACAAATCCCTTTCCCTTCCCCTCCCCACAACAGACATCCTGTGAGATAGGTGGGGTTGAGAGAGCTCTGACAGAAACTGCTCTTTTTCAAGAACAGCTCTGACAGAACTACAGTTTGCCTAAGGTCATCCAGTAGGTGCAAGTGGAGGAGTAGGGATGGGGAATCAAACCCTGTTCTCCCAGATTAGAGTCTGCGCACTTAACCACTACAAATTCTCAGTCAATACACTTGCTGTGAATTGGCAGTGTTTTCCCGTAATTTCTGTTTTTAAAAATTATTACTTTTACAGTATATTCTTAACCAGTCGTACTTGTTACCCACTTAACAGGAAAAGGGTGGGAAGTGAACTGTCCCTAACCTAGAAACTTGCTGTAAGCTTTAGTAATGCTGATGCAGCATGCTTAGAACTGCATTTTGAAGAATATGTCTTAGTGGTAGCTAAAGTAAGGAGGAAGTGGTAGCTGGTAGGGTTGAGGTCAGTGAAACACCCTACTTGGGTATGCTATACCGGCATAATAGGTGGTAGCAGAGTGACGTAGTCGACGCTGTTCTGCTACATTTTTAGTTTTTGTGTTTTTGGAAAGAAGGTGTATGAGTCAAAGATTCACAGCTCTGAACCACAACATGTGCATCCTTTGCCCTGGAATTGTGTGTTAGACTGATACAATTTGTTATTCTGTCAAGCTCCTTTTAGAGATTGTCTATAAATCTTTTATTGCATTGATGCATTAGCTAAATGCAGAATTGCACCAGCAGCTACAGAATTATTTTGTGTGTGTGTCTGTGCCCGTGCCTGGAAGTCATGGCGACCTCTGGCAACTCCTGCTGGGGCATTGATAGCCTGCCTCTGGCCTCCCAGTCCTGGTATTCTCTGGAGGTCTCCCATCCAAATACTTTCCAGGGTCAGGCCTACTTAGCTTTCAAGATCTGACGAGATTAGGCTTGCCTGGGCTAGCCAGGTCAGGGCCAGTGACAGAATTCTTGAGCCTTTGGACATCTTTTCACTCTCAGTTGTGCCGTTAAGGATAGATTAGGTAGGTTTTCATTTCCAGTAACTTTCTTAATCTCAGTTTCTTGTTATGAAACCACTTGGAGCACTAAAGTGAGCATAGCTAACTAGAGTAAACTAGAGTAGAAAACAACTGGAAAATTAGTCTTTTTTTTTTTAAGGGAACTTCTCAACTAAATTGGAGCCCCTATGTTTGTCTTTCTTGTGAAAGATAGGGAACACCCTGCTAAATGTGAACCTGTCGTGTGTAACTACACAGTATTAATTTGACCTGTAAAGGGCTCTTTCACACAAACTATATAATGCACTTTCAATCCATTTTCAATGCATTTTGGAACTGGATTTTATACCCTGTGAAGTGGCAAAATCCACTTGCAAATGGTCACTGAGGTGGATTGAAACGGCATTATTCAGTATGTGTGAAAGCACCCATAGATATTGATCCATTCTTTTCCTTTGCTTTTGTTAATTTTTATTGTCTTCTCCCCCTCCCTTAGGTCAAAGCAGATAGAATCTGCCTGTTTCAGTGGAACAGCTGCTTTTATGGAGGTTCGAATCCAGTCAGTTGTTGTGGAATTCATCCTCAATCATGTTGATGTCCTTTTCAGTTCCAAACTCAGCTCTGTTATTCGGGAGAGTGCAGGTATGTTTCCCCAAGGTTGAGACCCAGTGAAAATTCAAAGCATTCTGGTAGCATGTGCAACACCCAAGAATACCATTTTCATATTTCACTACAGCCAAATATGAAATGTGACCTAACTTTCCTGCTCTCAGTAATCATCCTTCTTTTACTGACGTCACTTCAGGCTAATGATGCTTATTAAATTTAAGAAATGCAGGTTGTGGTTTGTTATCAGACTGTGACCTCTGTTAACTGCCACATGGTTTTTCTAATCTTAGCACGTCAAACTTGTCAGTATTAATAACGGAGCTGCACCTTTCCCATTGATCCTTAGCTTGAACTCTACCCTGTACCATTCCATTCTGGAAGGTTTTGCTTTTAACTGAGCCACCTCCAAGTATTCTCTTTGCTTTTAGAGATGTATTCTGACTGGTTTATTGGTGTTAAAAAATGGGCTGTGGGTAATTCATGTAATTGTTTTAATTGTTGTACCAGTTTAAATTTAATTTGTGGGTAAAACTCATGCACTTGCTTGCTGAATAGCGTGTCAGGGAACATTCAGTACCAATTAGGCAGCTTGCAACGATCTCTCTATGTTGTGTAGGCTGCCTTCCTTACAGTACCTGCAGGGAACAGCAAACTTTTATTCCAGTATCTGATTTCCTGAAAGGAGGGGGGGGGGACACTTTAAAAGCAAACTGTGACTCAAACTCCAACCCTGTTTCCTATTGAAACATGATCTAAAAGGCAGGAAAATTAAATTGATAATACCAAGGCATTTGCAAACTCATTTATTTTATTACATTCATTAATTTATTCATTTATTTATTACAGTATTTATAGTTCACCTTTCTGAGAAAAAAAAAAGACTCAAGGGGAATATTTTCCTATTTCAAGACAATTTATTCATTAAGAAGTTTTCTCCATGCTTTCTCCCTTTTCTCCCCCCTCTTAAAATTCTAAGCTATAAATTGAATCAAATCAGCCATAAGTGGTGATAGCTCTCAGAAGAGGTCTGTGCTGCTCTCTCTTTCTCACTGTGCCTACCTAAAATTCGCAGTGGGTGTGTGTGGAAGAAGAGTGGTGTACGAGTGAGATTGGTGGATTAGTGGAGAGCTGGTAGAGGAGTGGTGCTACCAGGTGGGGCTCAGGAGGTGGCCAGTATAGTGGTCATTTCTAGTGCAGATTTTGTTGAGGTGGTTGGAGTGATGGTATTAATATAGCTGCATTTTAGAATGCATAGAGGGCAACTGCCTTTCTCATTTGTTAGAATTTCACCCACTTTGAACCAAATTGTTCCAGTCTTTGGAAGTTCATCCCAATTTCTTCTCCATGGCATTTCCCCCTCACTGCTCTTCTTTATCTCTCTCCGTCTTGTCTCGGGGTTCTCTTGCAGGTCACAGTTCCTTGTCACGGCCTAAATCCCTGCTGGTGTCTTCTCCCTCCACAAAACTGCTCACATTGGAGGAAGCACAAGCGAGGACGCAAGCCCAGATCAATTCACCCATCGTGGCAGACAGCAAGTACATTGAAGTGGGTGAAGGACCTGCTGCTCTACAGGGAAAATTCCACACCATCATAGACTTCCCATCTGAAAGGTAGAGAGTTTCTTTCAGAGGCTTCCTATCACTCACTTTCAGGGTATCTGGAGAAGTGTGCGTGAACACAAAAGCTTATACCTTGAATTGAAACTTTGTTGGTCTTAAAGGTGCCACTGGACTCAAAACTTTTTTCAAGCTACAAGGTTGGCTTCAGTGGTGGGTCCTGACTGTTGCCTGCCCTGATGATGAGCGCACTCCAATGATCACCCTAAGAATCCATAAGACACATTTTGCTGTTTCTACTATTTGAAGCCCTGATCTCGGTGGCTCACGCTCCTCTCGAGAACTGAACCTCCCCCCCCCCCCCCCCCCCAGAAGGCCATCAGTTCCAATTCCCCGTATGCCTCTACCAAAAAGACACTGGCTCCTCAGGAAAAAAAAAATCTTTTATTCTGCTTTGGCCTCTGGCACTGTTTCTTGGAGTTGCAGTGGACCTGCCTATAACACGGGGAGAGAATGTGGCACAGTTGTACTTCATTTACTTGGCATGCAGAAGACCCCAGATTCAGTCCCTGGCATCTCCAGCTAAAAGGATCAGGTAGGAGGTGATGTGGAAGACCTCCACCTTAGACCCCTGGAGTACTGCTGCCAGGTAGAGAAGGCAAGAATGAACTTGATGGGCCAGTGAACTGACTCAGTAGAAGGCAGCTTCATATATGTTCATGTATCACTGTGCTTGTGTAACGTAGACAGAGTTTATTTATTATTTATTTATTTTTATTTATACTTTCCATTTGTACCCCGCTCACCCCCGAAGGGCTCTGAGCGGCTTACACGGTGCATGGTGCAGAGACCTATGCAGAAACCCTAACTATGGCCACAGTACGTCTGGGGTGGGGGAAGCCCTACCAGGTACCCTCCCGGCTCCGATTGTTCGTTTATCCGGCGAGTGGGTGACTTCTTCCAGTTTTCTCCGGTGCGGCCTCCGCTGTTCTTTCAGCTCTCTGGCGACTCCTCTCGGAGGCTGTTGGTTATGGGCCCTGGTGCGCAGCCGCAGTGGGCGTCACAACGTCCTTGCGGATCCGGACGTCCTCCTGCTGGCCACATCATCAGCTGCTGAGCCAACCGCCTCCTTGGGATGTAGAGTTTTACAAAGGGAAGGATGGGATAGGGAAGCATTGGCAAGAGTGTATCAGTGGAAAGTGTGGTGTAATCAGGGATAGATTGGGGTAAGGTGGGGGGTGAGGGCATTCTTTCAACACTTGTCTTGACGCTGGTGAACCTTGTGAGCCTTGATTCCAACCTCCACCACCACCCCTTCCCAGCATAGATTTAAAGTTTAATTATTCTTCTAATAATCTTCCTCATCTCATGCAAATGATAAATTATGAGCCTTTCTAGAACATTCAATTCCTTCTTCTTTATTAATGGTAAAAATATTATAAGGTACATGTCGATGCTTCTGAAGAGAAGGGATGTGCTTGGGGGAGCAACAGTGGGAGGGCTTCTAGTGTCCTGGCCCCACTGCTGGACCTCCTGGTGGCACCTGGTATTTTTGGCAACTGTATGACAGAGTGTTGGATGATGGGCCATTGGCCTGATCCAACATTGGCTTCTCTTATGTTCTTATGATGTGAAATGATTTGTTCTGCTACTTTAACCATTTTTGCACATGCAGTAGGGTTCACTTTAGACAGCTTAACACATTCTACCAGCCTCTTCATGCGGACTCCCTTCCTGCTGTCTCACTCCAGAAAGAGACCACCAAGTAAGATGAAGAAATCCCCAGTTGGCAGCTGGCGTTCCTTCTTTAACCTAGGAAAATCATCATCTCTATCCAAGAGGAAATTGCAACGCAACCCAAGTGAGCCTTCTGAAATGAAAGCCATAGCCCTGGCAGGTAAGCTTGTCTTTTAGCATAACAGCAAGGACTTTAAGCCATTATTAACTTTATAATGCACACTTAAAATTAGACTGGCAAATTTTGGATTCTCCAGCTGGTTTTTGTCTTGGGATGGCATCGTTTTGATCCAGCATCTGAAAAAACTATTAAGTGCTGTTCTAAACTGTGCTGATCAGCAATGTCTATGGAAGATCTCTGTGTACCAAATAGCCTGTCGCTGTTCATGCTTCCTGCCAAAATAAGCCTGGCCAATGGCCTGTTGGTGGATACTCTGGTCAGCATGGTGTAGTGGCTGAGAGAACCTGACCAGGATCTGAGAGAACATTATTCAAATCTCCATGTTGCCACTGAAGCTTGCTGGGTAACCTTGAACCAGTCACTCCCTCAGTCCAAACTACTTCAAAGGTTTATTGCTCTGCAGATATAATGGAGAAGAGGAGAACAGTGTTGTAAGCTGCTCTGTGTCCTCATTGGGGAGAAAAGCAGGGTATATATAGCTAAAGAATGGAAGGAAGAATTAGAAGGCGGTTTCGATGTTCAGCTGGTCATGCTGTTACGAAGGCTGCATTACGTGGCCAAATGTTCACTTGATCATTTTATCCAGATATAAATGATAAACATAATGGGTATGTCACGTATGTATTTTAAAGGTTTTGCCTGACAAGAATGTGATGAATTTGTACAATGCAGCAGTAGGGAGGGAACCCAGTGCCTTTTCTGGTCCTCCTTAAAAACAGGAAGGAAGAAACTTGAGGACACAGCTTAATACATTTCTGTGCAACAGTCTGTTAAGCAGCAAACCAAGAATGCCTTTTTAAAAAAAAAAAAAAATTAAATTTATTTATTGAAGAAAATTCAAACAGTACCAAGAATGCCTTTGAGGGAAGAACGCTGAGGATTATACTTTGTTGATTTTCTTTCTGCTGAATGCTGTGGATCCTGTACCTAACCTAACCGATTTAAGAACACTGGGGGTGGGGGTAGTTGCGAGGCTATAAAATGCATTTTAATTTAAAAGGGGAAATTGTATGTTGTTTGTTAAATGTATTCAACTGTTTTGTGTTTTGGCTGTCCAGGAGGACGAGGAGACAGTGGGACCCTGCGCTCCGCGAAGAGTGAAGAGTCCCTCTCGTCTTTACATGCCATAGATGGTAAGATGGAACGCAAGTGTCTTTTGTTCACGCTGCCTGTGTCTTGTGGGAAAGAAGGGCTGCTGTTGTCAAAGCTCGGAATCATAGAGAACTAAACTCTAAGTGCAAATGGAAGAAAATAAAGCCCTGGTTATGATTTATATATCTGTAATGTAATCTGTAACAGCGCTCTGTGCGCCTTGGTGTTTAGTCATGCCGGCCACATGACCATGGAAATGTCTTCGGACAGCACTGGCTCTTTGGCTTTGAAACGGAGATGAGCACCGCAACCCTAGAGTCGGATTCGACTGGCTTTCGAGCAAGGGAACCTTTACCTTTAATGTTATAAAGAGCAAAGCACCATTTCATATGTTAAGGCCATTATTTCAACAGATGTTTTGCACTCTGTCTTCACAGGTGAATCTAAATTGTTCCGGCCCAGAAGACCCCGGTCCAGTAGTGATGCCTTGTCTGCTTCCTTTAACGGGGAGCTCTTGGGGAACATGAACCGCTGTAATTCCTATGACAACCTGCCCCACGACCAGGAGAGCGATGGAGAGGAAGGGCATATCCATGTTCCCGCTCTCGTCTCCCCACGGTCAGCTGAGGATGTTGATCTAAGCCCGCCTGAGATCGGTGTGGCTAGCCTGGATTTTGACCCCATGTCTTTTCAGTGCAGCCCTCCCAAAGCGGAGTCCGAGTGTCTTGACAGCAGCACCTCCATGCTGGAGTCGGTAGACTTTAATAAGGATAAGCAGAACAACTTTAAGAAGGAACTAGACTCAGGCAGCCAGTCCCAGACCCCTGGCAGTGCCACAAGCTCTGAACCAGTCTCCCCCTATCAAGAGAAGACCATGAGTCCCTTCTTCACTCTAGACTTGAGCCCAACGGAAGATAAATCATCCAAGCCCCTGTTCTCTGAGAAGGTCAACCACGCCTTCTCCCCCAAAATGGGACGGAAGCCCCTAAAGTCTCCGCCACCAAACATACTGGAGCCTCTCTGCTTCACTCTGCCCAGCCGGGTGCCAGATGTCATCGGAGGGCTAACAGGTTGCTCAAGTGCTCCAGAGTGGACTAAAGGGAACTGCAGCACCAGCGAGGCCCTAAGCAGGTCCCCACCCGAGATGATAATATCACCCTTGAGAGCCTGTGAGCTGAGGCCAAGTGAAGGGCACCAGCAAGAGTTCCAGAGCCAAGGAGATGCTAAGAAAGCGGAACTTCATGAAGAGGCGGAACAGCCCCTGGCCAGCAGCAGCCAGAGTAAGCCTGTACCTTCTGGACAGACGCAGCCAGGTACAGTGTGTTTTCCTCCATTCTTTCTTTAAGTTCACATGGGACCAGCTCTCTCACTTCTCTGCGTGCCTTTAAAAGAGAGGGGGGAAACAAATCTGGCCGTGACAAACCAGAGTGTGTGTCTTCCAGAGCGTGTGGAGGTTGCACGGGCCCCGATAGGGAGCACTGAAGGAACCCAAAGCTTCTCTGCAGCCTCTTTGCACCGCGCAAAAAAAAAAAAAATTGCTTGAATATTTTATATACCCCTGTATCTTTTCACTCTTTCATAACACGAAACAGTCTCTTGCAGTCCTTGCAAACCAATATAACCGACTGATAAAATAAAAGTAAATAAATAAATAATTTTTAAAAAATCTGGCTACACTTGAAGAAGGGACCTTTTTTGGCCAAAAGTAACCTGTGATTTTAAATTGTGCAAAAGATCCCGTCACAGGATCTGACCTTTCCTTTCTGCGTTGCCTACGGCTTAGCTATCTAGGAATGCGACAGGAACCTTTCTAGACAATCTCTTGCGCTTTTTTCACGCCAAACCGCTGTCCTGTTTGCATGTATAACGGAAGACGCGCTTTGTCACGCCACGGAGTTTGCCACTGTGAAATGTTGGAGGAATCTATTTTTGTAATGGTCTATAGGAATTGCTCGCTCTCCTTACGGGATAACGTAAATCATTCTCTTCTCTTTCTTTTTGTTTTTTCTACCCTTCCTCCCACTAGGAGTGGTTGCCCTCGACTCCCCCCAGGATCCTGTGCCAGTCAGTTCTGTCTCTGTTGTCCCTCCTCCACCACCGAAAAACGCAGCACGCATGCTAGCCTTGGCCCTAGCAGAGTCTGCCCAGCAAGCCTCTGTTCAGTCCAACAGGAAACCAGATGCTCTTTCGGACTGTATCACCTGTGCAGAGGCAGAGAGCAGAGAAACTGTAGAAATGTTCCATCCCTATCCTGGTGTCGCTCCAGAGAAGCTTCACCTCTATGCTGCTCTGCCAGAAAATCCACTCAGTTTTCAGGCCGCTGCGCCTGCAGATCACCACAGAAGTGGACTGCCTGTAGACCAGGCCTTTCCAAACAGTAGCATGCCAGAGGGCAGCAGCTGTTCTCACGCTGGCACGCCTGGAAATTGGGACCACTCCCTGCTCCCTACCGACATGCCTGGAGAGCGGCAAAGTGGCACAGACATGGGCTGGGACCACTCCCACTACCATCCTCACACGTCGGAGACACACCACCTCATTCACTCCGTTCTCTCCGAGGGCCAGAACTACCCTCACCCTTGTGCCAGGGGAGCAGCTGAGCCAGAGCCACCTGTGACCGAAGCACCTCCACAGAACTCCCTCCTCCACAGTTGCCTCCCTATGGATAAGACCCAAATCCAGGCCAACAAGCTTCACTTTCCTGTCTGCGCCATGGAAAATAAATATCAGTTTCTTCCTGCAACTGCTGGGGAGAAAACAGCCACAACGGTTGCAGCTTACGTGACAACGGTTCCGACAGCAGCAACCGAAACGGAACCTGGAGTATCCAGCCAGCACGTTCCTCTTCATCCTGCTGCAGTCGCTCCCAACTGCACATGGGGAGAAATCGCACTCATGACCGCTCAGCACGCTCTTGCTGCCAGCCATACAGTTCTGACACAGAGGCCGGGAGAGCATCAGCCCGCCGTGGGACAAGCACCAGCTACGGCCATTAAACCTTCAAGTGGCCTGGGCCAGGTAAAAGTCCCTCTGCCCAGCCCCAAGGCAAAGTCTGATTAAACCTTGCACTCCTGCAGCTGTTTGGTGACAAGAAAGTATCTCAGTAATGAATTCTTCTTTGCCATTCCCCTCCTGCCAATTTACCTGCCTATGTTGTATTTAATACACACGTTCCATAATTATTTTCCTCCCAGCACTTGGAGAAGACACAATTTGGCAAGTAGTTAGCTGTTCTTGGAAGAAAATTGAATATTTGCTAGTATCATTCCTAGAAACAACTTGGCAACTCTTAGCAAAACTTCTCAGGAAAAGTCAGCTGATTGAGTAAGCATTGAGAAGTTTATGTAGAGTTGGTTGAAGTGCGGCGTTATCATTGTGGAAAGAGACAGCAGTAAGTGATAGCATTGTACCTCCCATTTGATTAATTTTCATAGTTGATAGAGGCTCCTAGAAAGGTCTGTGCCTTAGTCCTTCTAACAAACAAACTGAAATGCCTGTTAAATATTGTGTGTGTGTGAGAGAGAGAGAGAGGTGCCATCAAGGTGATTCTTACATATGGCAGCCTTGTAAATTAATGACCTCCAAAACATCCTGTCATTAAACAGCTTTGCTCAGGTCCTGCAAACTGAAGGCCATGACTTCCTTCATTGAGTCAAGTGCACTTTGTTTCCTTGATTTTGATGTGCTTCAGGGGTAGACGTTTTTCATTATTATTTTGACCCGCTTTCCTTCAGGTCCTTCTACAGCTGCAGCTGTACTCAAAACCACCATTAGTGAAGGATCAACAAGCTTTACTTACAGTTCAAATTTTTAACTTGCTTTCCTGTCGAAGGGCTGAGAATGCTACATCTTCCGGTCAGTGTTCCCTCTAAGCTGAGTTAGTGTGAGCTAGCTCACAGTTTTTTAGCCTCCAGCGCACATATTTTTGTCTTAGCTCAGGAAGGACGGCTCCAGAGCAAACTAATTTATGCAGTAGCCAAATCGCTCGCTCACAACCTTAATGCCGGTAGCTCACAGAGTAGAATTTTTGCTCACAAGACTCCACAGCTTAGAGGGAACATTGCTTCCGGTATAGTTGTTGGTTAACCTTCCTAGCTCTTCTTTTGGATGGGGAATTGGTCTACTTCTCATAGAGTCCAAAAAGATCAGGCTGTGCCCCAGAGGTTGCTAAAGTGTGTGATGGTGCTCAGGGGCTGGGGTCACAACTAATTTTTCGTTTGCTTTGTCATGCCAGGCACAAGAAGAGGCGGCTCCAGAGAAACCGCCTGAGCCTAGACCCGCGGAGCCGGCTCCCGTTTTCGTCACCGAGGGCAGTGCCGCTATTCAGTGTACGTCTGCCACCCCTGTGGCCACGCTTCACCAGTTCCACTCGGAAAAGCCCCGTGAGAGTGCAAGGGCTCCCCCTTTGCAGTCGCGTTCTGAGTCTGTCCCGGCTCACTCCTCCTATGGATCTACACCTCCGGTCCCACCTGTGAGGACAATAGAGAGTAAAATCGCCGCAGCCATGCATTCAAACAGTGCAGATCCTATGAATCCGGCCAGTTACCATTCCTTTCTTGCTTCCTCTACACTGCCATCGTCAGTGGAGGATACTCCACCCAAACATGCTTCTCTTCAGTCTTCATATTTCTCACATTCCAAGTCAGAGAGCCCCCCTGAGCCCCCAGCGTCGGACAACTATGTGCATCACAAGCCTACGTCCATCCACCAGTACAGGGCCGAAAGCATTCCGCCACACCTCTATCACAGCAAGTCTGAGCAACATCCGGGCTATCCTTCTGTGTTGGAGACCCCCACATCTACGGTCCCCAGGTACAGTGCATACACCCCTCAAGGGAAGAGTGCCTCTGTCCATCACTCCAAACCTCGCGGCCGGGTAGATTACATGACCTCCATGAGCCCTACCATGAGGAGCACTAGTTATGTAGAGGAGACACCACCCTACCCCTCTATTCGACGTGTGCACTCGCTGCACGTCACTGCTCCGTCCACCATCAGATCGGTTCCAATATCCCGTACAGAGGTGCCTCCTGATGATGAGCCGCTGTACTGTCCAAGGCCTCTCTACCAATATAAGCCATATCAGCCCCATGCGGATTATCATGTCACTCAGCTGCAGCCTTACTTTGAGAATGGCCGTGTTCACTATCGGTATAGCCCCTACTCAAGCTCCTCCAGCTCTTCCTGCTACTCTGCGGCGGATGGTGGGTTTTATGATCTGGATCCGTATGGGACAGTGCGGTTGAGGCAGTTCCATCCTCTCTCTGGTCGAGATTTCACGTCCTACTCCAGGGTGCAAAGCAAAAGTTTGTACCGCTGTCCAGGCCTGCCGCCGTACCCCCGGGGAGGCCTCGTCGGCCACCTGACTGGCAAAGAGCACAGCTTCATCAGCAGGGACGTGCCACCCGCTCCAGATGTCAAACCCATGTATGTCTCGTGGGATTTGGAGGACATGGAAAAGTACCGCATGCAGTCCATCCGCAGAGAAAGCCGCGCACGTCAGAAAGTGAAAGGGCCTGTCATGTCCCAATATGACAACGTAGCCCCCTTGCTGCAGGACGAGTCACGAACTGTCGATGTTGTTCACTTGCGCAGTAAATCTGATCCTGGGAAAACTGGCCTTCTCACTGTTGCTGACGGGAAAGAAGGCAGGTATCCGTACAAGGTTGGGACCCCTGAGGGAGACGAACGCTACTATGTGCCACATCCGGATGCCGACATGGACAGATCCCATTACCACGGAACCTATGGGAATGGGCAGCCTGAGAAACCTTCCCTCCCTCAAAAGCAAAGCAGCATCAGGAACAGGAAACCGCACGAGGTGGGTTGCAATTCAACTGAGCACAGAACACATCTGCAGCATGACGTGAGCCATAGGCAGCCTCTGGAATCTAAAAATGGGCCCCCATATGCTGATTACCGATCAAAGGGGCACCAGGAACCACTGGAATCAATTGCATACCAGCACTCTGGTGGGAAATATGTTCCAACCAGCCACGATGCCTTGAGACTGAATCATAAAGAGGTGAAGCTACCAGAGGACAGGCCTGAAGCAGAGCGACCTCGAGCCAGGCAAGCTGTTGCTGTCGAAAAGCACTCCAGAGACTGCTACAAAGAGAGCGAGCACTACGGGCAGCCCGCAGCACCGCCCCCAAAACCGGAACGGAGCCACAGCCTCCGGCTCCAACACCCCGAGAGCGTAGAGCGGGACCCAAGTCTCCTTTACCCGTACCAAACCCTTGGCAAGCGCCAAAGCACCATGACTGTGGTGTCGCAGTACGATAATTTGGATGACTACCATACCATGCCTCAGCACCAAAGAGGGGGCTATGCTGGAGGAGGGGGGTTCGTCCCACCCTTTTCTCATCCACACAGCAGGACCTATGCCACAGCCTTGGGCCAGGGGGCCTTCCTTTCCTCCGAGCTCTGCCTACAGAGGCCTGAGACTGAGATCCACGCAGAGTGAGGCCCGAGGGGCGGGAGGGATAGAGTGTGTAAGCAGCCTCTGCTGGACAGTGGACTGTTTTATTTTTTCAGTGATACACAAAAAACAAAAAACCCATCAGAGCAGCTCCCACCATTAACCCCCTCCCCCACTCGGCTCCTGCCCTCTCAGTGTCCCCCCCCTGCCGCCCCAGTTCTCCACCGCTTCCAGGTTTTTATATAGTAAATGTATAGTTTTCTCTTGCATTGTATGAAGGTAGGTCGGAGCAATCATGCAGGCTTGTCTTAAAACTCGAAGGCGGGAAGAGTTGTGCCGTGAATGGTTCTCACGTTCCTTAGTTTGAAACAATGGCATTCCTCATAGCTTTGACACTGTCCTTTGGAGACCTGTGCATGACATATGTATAGATGGTTTAATGCAGACATTTCATCATGTCCTTTGTATGTGATCACTAGAGAGAGATTTATGGGATGGCAAGGGTTTTTTTTAAGTAAATATTTTAACTTGGTCCTTTCAAGCTTAATGTACCAAACTCTGGGGGGGGCGGGGGCGGGGAATGGTTTCACGTTATTTGTTCCTTCTACATTTCCAGATTGTTTGTTACAGTGTTAATCCAGTGGTCACCTTCTTCCTAAAAAGTACATTGAATGCTTTTCAAGATCCTAATTCCATCTGAAAATTGTCTGTTGAGATCAGTAGGAGTGGGATATTGGGGGGGGGCAACTGAGGTTTAGAGGATCAAGAGGCATTATCGAATTGCTCTTAAGCAAAACAATTTAAGAAGCTGCTTCATCAAACATTATAATGTTTTGTTGTTTGTTTGTTTAAGAGAGAACCTCAAATGTTGTATATGGAGCTTTGCTTTGCCAGACCTGGCAAGTGAGACTTGTATTTCTCACAGTCCTAAGAGAAACACCTCTTAGAAACGTTACAACAGATACATTTTGTCCGTAGCACTCTGTACCGGTGGATCATCCAGAGGTCCTTTTCTGGTGCATCCAATATGGAACGACTTGGGGTCGCAGAACTTTAGAATGGTTTTGTGGGAAAGGGCCGTGGTGCATTCTTAGTCAAGCCGTTGATAGATATTTAAATCATCTGTTCACAAAGTAGTTCTGTGGTTACGGCTGACTTTCCAGTTGGTGCTGATTATCTGCTGGCAACGATGAACACATGGCTCCGAATACTGAGGACCAAGTCCCAGTGAAGGCCAGCTGGCCTTACCAAAGGCCAGTGTGTAATAGCACATACACCTCTTTCACTCTTGCCAGCAAGGCAAGCCGCTTGCAAGTAAGCGTAGACTGGTGCACTGTGGCACATCATTGTTTCTCACTTAGATGCCTGTGGAAACAACATATTGGTTTGCTGCTTTATTGAAAAATGAATATTCAGTGTTTTTAAAAGTGCTGTCCTTGCTGGATTGGTGGCAGATGGGGAGGCCTCACCCTATTTAGTGCTGGGATCCAGGACGGCAAAGGCTACCGGATGGCGGAAACCACATTGCCAGGTTTAAGTCCAAAGGAAATATCTCAAGCTTTTCTCTATCTTAGTCCCTTGCTGATAACCAACCTGTACGGGGGAAAGGAATTGAGGGAACTTGGATCAAGATCCTCCTGGAGCTAAAGATTTGTCCACTTCATGCTTTCTTAGTAACAATTGTAGTAATAATTTAAAATACTGGAATTTACTGGAGTGGAAAGCCCTTCTAAAAAGCAACATGACTTTTGGTTCTCTCCGTTCCCCATCCATGTCCCGTCTTCGTTACAGAAAAGAGCAGACTGTCTCCTTTTGTTTTGTGTGATGTGTTATTTTAAAAGACTGAATAATTTAGTTTTGGGTTTTATTGTTCCTCAAGCATGCTAGGTCTAAACGTAGTGGCCAGAAGATTCACTGTGAATCAGGTTTACCTCAGCTTCCCTTCTCTCTCCTCACCCCCTTTTGAAGAACTTCTACAAGAATTTTTTCCCTCCTCTGGAAGAGAAATAGAGAGACGAGATCATCATTTGAAGCTTCTACTGTGAGAAGCTGGCAGATTTTGCTGCTCAAGAAAGTTAAACGAACCAGCGTTCGATGTGCTATGAATCAAAGTTAAACAAACTGGCATTCGAGGGGCACTTTGCATCTCATGCAAGCTTTCACCTACGTCCACTTGATTTTTTTGGAACCAGCCATTTGAAGTTCTTCATGCTGACAGAGCTGCTCTGCACCTCAAACTCTCTTTCTCTGAGTTCCCTCCGGAGTTAAGGCAGGGAAACCCCCATTGTGTTTCGGATATCTGAGGTTCAGGTAGCGAGGGCTGCAGCGCAAACCTCTCTCTTCATGAAAGCCTTAATTTTCCTTGTTATCCTCTCCATATATTGGCCTTAAGTTTTTCTATCTTCCAGGTGAGAGATCAGAACCAAGCCAACTTCCTGTAAATTTTGTAACTTCTAGGGGCAGCGCTTAAAAATCTGACATTCTCTTCTGCTTGCAAATCTGTCTGTCTAAAGGGTAGCAGGGGCAGGAGGCGTGCAGTTAGGTTTTGAATGCTCGCCACTCTGTCATTTCCCTAACAAGATTTGAGCGTACATACGTGGAGCTCCCTAAATCAGAAAAGTCCCACCAAAGCGATGTACACTTTAGTAAAAACAGCCCTTCTAGATGGAGTACTTTGCGGTTTCAAAGCAAGACCTTGCAGTTGGCCTTCCCTGTCTTAATACATGCCACTTTCTTGCTAACCACCAACATTCAGTCAGTATCCAATTTGGGGAGGCCTTTGGTCCAAAATAATCTGTGTGGCAGTACAACCTTGAGTGTAAAAGGAAGCAGCGTTGCTCAAAAGAGCTTCTTAAGTCTGAAGAACAGTGACCATTGCCCTGTTCTGTACATGTCACCACTATACCAGTAGAGCAAACTCCCCCCACCCGAGAAAGCCATAAAATTAACTATGCAGCTCCTGCTCATCTCTGTAGTTAATTCTGGATCTGTAAAAACCCTCTTCCTTGTGAATAAGCAAGAGAGATAGCTTCGGGTTGTTTTGTTTTGTTTTGTTAAACCCAACCACAAATCCAGCAACAGAAAGAGTGATAATTCTTCTACTGGTCCAATGATTATTAGACAGTATGTTGTTTGCTGGGAGTGAAATGGTACAGTATAATGAGTGACGATGCCCTTGCAAGGGAAGACAAGTGAAGTAGGGTGTCACTTATCAAGTTCAAGTCCTTATTGGCCCTGACTGATAGTCAAAAGGCATAGTTTTGGTGAGAAGGCCAAACCAGCACTCACTCCTGTTTTTGCTCACTGCCTTGGTCTCAGTTCCCATTTTCTGGGCTCTCGGGAGGATTTCTCCTTTGCCTGGCTGCTCAGAGCAAAATTGGGCCCCTTTTGTTGACCTGTTAAGTAGACATAGCAAGTACTTGAGGTCTTTGTGTAGCTGATCTTAACTTTAAAAAAAACTTTTAAATCAGGTTAAAAATTTTATGCAGATGAGAGTGAAAATAATTGTGCCTATGTCTTCACGGACATGATCTAGGGGGGAGGGGACTTATAACATGGGGTCACAAGAAGAATTGCACAGCTGTGGCAGAAGTTGCCACACAGAAACCAAAATCAGCCTGGAATCCAGCTTGGTTCCTTTTCAGCTAGCGAGAATTTTGGACCTCCTTATGTGCTCTTTTTCCCCATTCATCTCATTGGGTGCATTGATGACAAAGCATCAGTTGCCTACGCTGTGACATTGTATGTTAGGGAACTACATTGTAGACTTTCTTTTCTTTTTTTAATTTACTTTTGAAAGGTGGCTTCGGCATGACATTTTCTCCAGGATCTTGTGCTATGGAAACCCGATGCAGTGAGCATGGTACAGATGGAACATGTGCTCATGTATCTTTAGTGTCTCCAGTAAGTTTTATATTGTATAGTTCCGATTCAAAATGAACAAGAAAATGGTAGTTGTGCAGTTTATTTTTCCTGCTGTGGAAAACTTGAGTCGTCTTTTGCCCTGAGCCGCATGAGAGAACCATCCCAGAAAGACTTGGGTGATCTCCAGGTGTTCACTTTAATTTATATAGTGTCTTATTTTTTTTTTCCTTCCTAATTTTCTGTGTGTGAGAACTGGTGTAAAATGTATATGCCGATGAACTCATGTTCTTTTTATGTAAATATTTTTGTGGCATCCTGCTCCCACGCATCCCGTGTAAATATTTAGAATTCTCATTTTCTTCACACTGTGTACAATGCAGGTGTATTTGGTTTTATTATTATGTTTTTTTTAATTTGTACTGTAATGCTATGATCAGACTTGAGGTGTCTTGTGCTATTAAAAAAAGAACTAACAGTCCCACAAAACTCAGATGTACAACTCAACAGTTAATGAAGCCAGGTTAAAAACAAATCTGTGTGTCTGTGTTCCTCTGTGAAGAAATATATAATAATAATATATATATAATAATAGTCAGGTGGGGTAGCCGTGTTGGTCTGAAGCAGAGGAACAAAGTTTGAGTCCAGTGGCACCTTTAAGAGCAGCAAAGTTTTATTCAAGGTATGAGCTTTTGAATGAAACCTTGTTGGTCTTAAAGGTGCCACTGGACTCAAACTCTCTGTTCTTCTGCATTAGTGTGTGTAGGGATCTGGTTTGGGAGTCTGCCACTGGAGGCAAACATGTCCCCGCTAGCGTTTCTCGCAAGGGTCATTCAAGAAGGATGGTAAATTCTCAGCCTCCTTGTCGTTATCTGTCTCCTGTGCAGTCTGAGAAAAAGCAAAACACCAACCCCATCAATAAAACACATATGTATTTTTATCACTTTCTTAATTAGAATTACTGGGCAAAGTACAAAAGTGTAGCTCAGACGAGTATCGGAAGTAAGTTTTTAGCCTTAAGTAAGTTAGCACGAAATTCAGTCTTCAGCTATAATTGCTGGGAGAGCTCTCATTTTTTTTTTTTTTTAAAAGCATCAATGCAATCACATTCACCTTTTTCAGGGTACCCTCTCTGCTCTGTCATGGGAGGGACTGTAGCTCAGTAGTAGAGCATGTGTTTGGTATGCAGAAGGTCCCAGGTACAACCCCCAGCATCTCCAGTTAAAAGGACCAGGTAAGCCCTGACCT